CTTCCTGGCACCTCACCGCTCGGCCCTGGCCCAGCCGTGGCTGACTGAGCAGCCTCGACCCTCCAGCCGGCAGGGAGGGCAAAGGGTGGACCTGCGTGGGGGGCACACGGGGCTGGTCCTGCCCGACGTGATGCGGGGCGCATCCTCAAGAGCCCATTTTTTGGATAAAGACATTTTGCCCTGAAAGCTCCTTGTTTTGGAGGTCGGGTTCTCTTAGAGCAGGTCAGCGCGGCACATTGAGGAGGCGTGACGAGGCCTGAGCTGGGGCATCGGCAGGGGGCGGGTGGGCGGGGGCACTGGGCTCGGATGCGGGGTGGGGGGTGGATGATGCTGTGGGTCCCCAGCCCCCCCGGAAGCCAACAGGAGCAGCAGCTCAGGGATGAGGCGACCTTGCGTTTGAACACGGGGCTTGGGGTTGGGGTCGGGTGCAGGGCAGCGTCCGTGGGAACCTGCGATCGTGGGGCCCATCCCACCCCCTTTGCTCTTGTGTGGGACGGTCTGTTTCTCCATATGCGACATTTCCCCTCGTGGAGCCTTGCAGAGGCCACGTGAGCAGCCGTTGTCCCTATGTAGGACTGAGGATGCCAAGGGCTGGGCAAGGCTGGCGACGGGACGCGGCCAGGGCCTGGCAGCAAAGGCGGCAGTAGTGGGGGGCTTAGTGGGGGGCTGAGTGGGGGGCAGGCGCCCTCCTGCTCTGACCTAACGACTGCGTCAGGAAGGAAAATGGCCCAGGGTCACGCGCGAGCCACCCATCTGGTCATCTCGTCTCCGGGACCCCAAAGGTCCCCCCTCAGTACTTCGGCTATTCCCCATCTGCAGATGCGTAGACAGGGGTGCGGGGAACCCCTAGGAGCACCCGGGCAGCACCGGCTTCCGTGATGTCGTCGTCACGAGGTGCAGCCTTAGGCACGTCCCGTGGCCTCGGCACTGACGCCCCCAGGTCGTCAGGAGGGCAGCCGGGCGCCAGGCCCGCTGACCCGAGCGCATCCCTCGTGGGTCGTGAGCAGGTGCAGGCGGTGCTGAGACGGAGCTGGGGCGAGCTCGTGGAGGACCAGATGAGGGCCTCGCTCCGCGCTGACGTTTGCCGTGAACGTCCTGAAGGACGGTGACGGAGAAGCAAGCTCGCTCGCCGGGTTTGCTCCGTGGGATCCTTGCCCAAGGCAGGGCCCCACCTGCAAGGAGTGCGTGTGCGGTCGTGTGTCCGCCCGCGGCCCCGGCCCCGGCCCTGGACCCTCCCCGGTGCCCGGAGTTCAAGGCCGGCAGGCGTCCGGGCCCAGCTCGGGCATCCACAGACGCAGAGCCCGCGAGGCGGGGCGGGGAAGTGAGCACCAGGGCTCACCCCCCACAGTGACCCCGCGGCTCGGGCTCCCGGCCTCTGTCCCCCGTGTCACGGCGTGTGCCTGTCCCCTCGCGGGAGAGCACACGGGGGGCTGGTGTGCGTCCCCCGTGCTTCACGGAGGAGTGCGAGCCAAGTCGGGCCCCGTGGGCTGAGCCTGCAACACCCGTCCCCCGTGAGCTGGGTGACCTGGGGCACATGCTTCGTCCCCTGCGCCCCGACTTCCTCCAAAATGGGAGCACGGTGGTACCGTCTTCCTGGACTTGCTTTGACCGCGGAGACTCCGCGGGGCACGTGGTCAGTGCCGGAGCTCACACTGCGGCTCGCGGGGACACACGGGCGGGAATCCTGGGACGGAGCCACGTGGGGACAGGGCGGGAGGCCCCTGAGGCACAGGAGACATGTCCCACATCGCAGCTGCGTCTGGGCAAAGGGGTCAGGACCTCACGGGCCCGGGTCTGTAACCGGAAGCCGCCCCTTCCCCACGCACAGTTGGCTTGTTTGCATCGCGACGCGCCACCTGCCGCACGACAGACCTTTCAAATGACTTCCCTGGGGGACACTCTGCTCGGGGGGCGGGTCCCACCTGCCCTGTAAAAGCAGTGACCAGATGCTGGGACGGCGAAAGAAAGGGCGCTCTGTGCCGCAGGCCTGTCTCCCGGGGTGATTCATTCCCACGTCACGTATTTTCTGCGCTCTCCCTGCTGTCCCCAGAGCGTCCCTATCCCGTCCGGCCAGTTCTTCCACAAATCCCTGTGCCGCCGGGCCCGACACCCTCCGAGGTGTCACTGAGGCCTCTGGGCGCCGGGCAAGCGTGAGCCGTGGGCCCCTCCGTGGAGAGGAGCCGTGGGCCGACCTCCGTGCGCCGCGCCAGCCGGGACGTGGGTGGGCAGTTTTGTGGGGACAAGCTCGCTGCCCCCCCCCGTCCCTCCAGCGCCTCCTGGTCCCAACCGCGCTGTGTCCTCTTTCTCTTTCTTCTACTCGGTTCTTACCCTGAAACCAGCGTCGCCACATGAGCCAAAACCTCTTAGGTTTAAGAATCCTGAGGTCAGGCCCCGTCCCAGAGTCCGCTGCACCATTGAAATCGCGCCGCGCTTGCGGGTAAAGCTTGATGTGGGATGAAATTCCTGTCCCCGAGGCCCGGGTGTCGCGTGGCCCCTTCAGGCCCTGCTGTGCCCACACGGTCGCCCCTGCGAGTCCTCAGTAGACCTCAGCCCTGCTGCGGGACCCTCGCTCTCGGTACCCACGGCCTTCTGCGCTGCTGCTGCGCCCCTCATGACCGTCCAGCCCTGGGTACCAGGCCACGGGGGGGGCGGTCCTGGCTGCACCCCCAGCACCCACCCTCCCCCTCTGCACCCCTCTTCCGCCTGCATTGGCTCCTGACCCGCAGGACCCGGGCATCCTCCTCCAGAAGGACCCTCCTTCTGTCCCCCGACACCAGCCTCACCCTCACCCTTTGGCTCGGGCGCCCTGGCTCATGGGATCTTAATATGGAGGAGACGTGCAGCTCTAGACTTCTGGGGGGAACAGCGGACCCCAAGTTGGACTGGGCTGGAGCCTGGGTCGGAGCCTGCCAGACGCCAGGGCGGGGTTCCCGGGGGCCTGAGGTGCTTCTCCCCGACTGGGCGCCAGAGCAGGTGTCACGAGGGTGTCCCGATCCCGCGTGCAGGTGTGGGGCTGCCCCGGGGGCCCAGGGCACGAAGGGCCCAGCACCTCACGACAGCCCGGCCCGTCAGTGCACAGGCTGCGCAGTGGCTCCGGTCTGTGAACCCACAGGACACATGGATGAGCCTCTTTTTTGACTTTCTGTTGGAAACTTTAAGTTCGGAAACAGCTGAGCCCTAAGCACCGCAGTCCTTGCCCCGAGGGCCGGCCTGGGCGTCCACGCTTCTTCGGGTGGGGATCAGCTTTCATGGGTCATTTTTTTTCCCCACTTCACTGCTTCCCCTTTTCTCTTTCCTGAAGTCCGTGATTCAGGGATCCCCCTATTTGCAGCTACTTAGGCAGGAATGATGTAAAGGCAGCCGCCGGGGGGCCTGTGGCAGGCGAGGGGACCCGTGGCCGGGCGGCGGCCTCCATCCGAGCCCTGTGTGGCCGTGAAGCCGCCGTGGTGGCGCCGGTGCCCTCCCCACTCAGGTGCCCCCAAAGGATGCCGTGTGCTTCGGTCGGGCCGCAGGGCCTGCCGGGACACGCGTTCCTGGACGGCCTCCACCCGGCTGCCCGCTTGCCGTGGGGGGATCGGAGGCAGCAGACGCTTCCAGAACAGAGGCATGGACTTGGCTGGGGCCTGCGGGGTCTGCCGTTCGTGCGCCCTGGGGCTGTGGCCGGGACCCGGCGGGTGGCAGGTAGGGCGAGTGCGGTGCTGACTCGGCGCCAGCCGGGGCCTGGGCGGACCTGGACTCGTGCTGACTCCAGGGCCTGGGACAGCCTCACCCCTGCAGGCCTCGCTGCCTCCTGTGAAACCACGTGTTTGCAGGGGGACGGGGGGCGGGTGGCAGGGAGGCCGGGAGACGCGGCATCGAGGGTGACGGTGGGACCAACTGAGGCATGAGCCCGCGGGCCGGGCCTGGAGAGCAGAGGCCTCCCCCTCATCAACACCAGCTGTGGCCGAACCCCCTGGGGGGGCAGCGCGGGGCGGCTGCTGCTGCCCGTGGGATTCCGCGGGTGTGCAAGGGAACCTCCCTGCGGCTCCGATCATGGGGAGAGACCCAGTGGCCCTCTCTGTGGAACGACAGGTGTCACACACTCCGACTGGTTCCCACCGTGCCCCGGGGCTGGCCACGCCGTGGGGAGGATCCACCCGCGTCCCGAGGGTGGGCTGTGATGCTCTGCGGTTGCAGCCTTGGAAATCTTCACGTCTTACCTTTGAATTTGTATTTTGTGCGTGAAATCCTGGGAGACCACGAAGTGTGTCCCTGGGACCTGGAGCCTGGGCTCCCGCGAGCCCCCTGACCGCCACCGCCCTGCCTCCCCGAGGGCTCGCGCCCCCACCGCCGCCCCGGGAGGGCCCAGACCCGAGGTGTGGTGTGAGGGGCTTGCACCCCAGGGCGCCCGCAGTACGGCGCGGCGGCAGGTGCCGTCATCCCCCGCTGGCAGCTCCGTGGCAAGGCCAGTGGGTGACCAGGCAGGGACGAGGCCCCCTCCGGGTCCCCCAGCGTCCTGGCAGGGAGGCTGTGATGCCCTTGCGGTCGCTGTCTGCGGGTCGGGGTCCCCGGGGAGGAGCAGTACTAGAGTGCCCTGCCCCGCGGGTCACAGCGCGTCGCCCGCACGTGCACGCGTGTCCCTGGCCCGTGGGTCCCCCAGGAATCCACGTGCCTCGAGAGAGGCGGTGTAAAGCCCGAAACGGCCATGGCCACGGCCAGCGACACCAATGCACTTAACGCCCCCGAATTGGACACTTAAAATGGTCACAAAGTAAATCTTATGTTTCGAGACAACTTAGAAAGTTACACGGGAGCAAAGAAACAAACCAGAACGCAGGGGACGCGGGACCGGGCAGAGGGAGGCCAGAAGGACGGAATCGCTGGCACTGAGCTGCCCCAGCGGCGGTCCTTGCCCTGGGCCCCCGGTTCCCGGCCAGCCCGGCCGTCGCCCCTCCGGCGCCGCCCCCCAGCCCTGAAGGCTCTGCCAGCGGATGCTCACCTGTCCTCTTCTCCCCGCACAGGTGTCCTGCTGGCCGCGGGCCAGGCCCTGGAGAACAGCACGTCCGCCCTGAGCGGTGAGTCCTGCCTGGGGGTGCGCGACGAGCGGGGGGAGTGGGCAGGCCGGTTCGTGGGGCCTCCCTCTGAGCGTCCCCAGGGGCCCCGGCCTGGGCTCCGCAGGCTGTGCCCCAGGGTCCTGGGTGCAGGGGCAGGGGACTCCCCCCGTGCGGGCAGGGGCGCCATGGAGCTGGGGCCCCGCTGTCCGGCGCCGGCCGTGCCCCTAGAGGGGAGCCGGGGTTCCCGAGCCGCGGTCTGCTCCTGCCCGCTGGTCTCTGTTCGCGGCTCTAGGGGTCACCTCGTGACATTTCGAGGGACCTTGCCCTGGCTTCAGAGACCTGGGCCCACGTCCTGGGTGGCGTGGGAAGAGTGGGAGGCCTCGCTCCCAGGCTCAGAGCGTCCACCGCTGCGCGTGCCTGGCGTTGCGCGGCGCCCGGTGCGCTCGTAGTTTTGTGGGGCCGCCGCGGGGGGAAGCGACGTGACTGCTGCTCTCTGAGCCGCGGCTTTGAGTTGTACGTTTCTCCACGTTGCCGCAAAGCCTTGAGATGCATCTTTTTAAAACGTCACACTCGGGCGCCCGGATGGCGCCGTCGGGGAAGCCACCAGCTCTCGGTCGGGCTCAGGCCGCGGTTGGGGTAGTGGGGCTGCGCCCCGCGTCGGGCTCCTCGCCCAGCGCCTGAGGTCCCCCCGCCCCTCCCGCCAGGCTTGTATGTGCGGGCTTGCTCCCCCCGCCCCGTAACTAATAAGTGGATCTTTCCAAAAACATCGGGATCCACAAAAGCAGACTGTGTGGTTTAGTTCGTCGCTCCCTGCTGGGCCTCACATGGCGTCCAGTTAAATCACGGTGCCCCCTCGCCCCCCGCACGCCCAGGGCCTTTCCCTTCGGTCGGGGGCTTTCCTCGGGGTGCTCCCTGGGACACGAATAAATATCCTTGTGACCCCCGTGGCGAGTCGCCAGCTAGCCCTCAACGTGCAGGGAGCCAAGTTCCTCGCCGGCAGTGCTGAGTCCCAGGCCCCCACTGGATGCCCCCCCCATAGTCACCCGAGGGAAGTGTGCGGCGGGGAGGGGCGGTTCCTGTGCGTTCACGGTCCTCCAACCGGCCACACGGGGCCCCTGTACCCTGCTCGTCTCTTCCACTCCTTGTCCCTCCAAACGCGGGGAGACGACGCTGCCTCTGCAGCCCCTGTACCCTCCCCTCGGAGCTGTCACCCTTGAGGCACTCGAACCCCGAAGGTGTCCAAGCCACTTGGGGGCCCGTGATGGCACGGGAGAGGATGCCTGGCTCCCCCGTGTTCCGCTCGACCAGGGTGGGCGGGCGGGCGTGTCCCAGAGCGGTGCCCCCGAGGCCCGGGGTCGACCAGAGTGTCCACCTTTCCTCCCCAGTCGGTGAGGGCTCAGCTGTGCATCTGTGGGGGGTGCGGTGGGGGCCCCCCCGCTGCCTCCGGGCATCCCGGCTCACGTCCTCGGCCCCATGGTCCTCGCTGTAGGAGCTGGGAGGCCAAGAGCCAGCTCCTGTCCTGAGTCACCTGCGGGTGGTGAGTCGCAGTGATGGCAGACGCTGATGCACCCCAGCGCCGCTGCCTGCTGCCTCCTGCCCCTCTGCAGCCCCTCACGCCGGCGGCGGAGCCCTGGGGCCACCCCAGAGCCTGTCCTCTCAGGCGCGGCTCTTGCCCAGGCCCTGGGGGGCCTCCCGGTCTTTCAGGGACAAGCGTGGGAAGACCTGCCGTGCTCATCCCGGAGCGCCTGTCCTTGCTGCGCTGCTCACCAGCCTCTGTTCCTGTTTCTGAATTTGCTTCTGCGCGAACGTCTCTGTCCCAACGAGTCCCCGATGTTCACTCTTCCTCTTCACGGCGTGTCGCCAGAGAGCCAGTCACGCCCTGTGGGGTTGCACAGCCCCCGTGACGGGCGGAGGGCGCCGTGTGCCGGCTGAGAGCAGGGGCAGTGCCACAGCCCCGAGCACCGGGCGGGCACCGGGCGGCCGCCGGGAGAGCCCCGCGTTGACAGGGGCCTGTGGAGGGGGGACGTGGGCTGCTTGCCCGGCCCCCGCGGGCCCCTCAGCTGTGGGCTTCGGGCCCGGGCAGGTGGATGGAGCAGCTCTCGCGGTTTGTACTCCCGCTCCACCTGCCCCGCGGGACCCAGGACCCAGGCCGGAGTCCGGAGAGGGCTGGGCGAGGGGACAAGTCCAGACGGCGGCGGTGGTGTCACGACCCCCTCTCTGAGGGCTGGGGCTTTGCAACCGCATCAGCTTGTTTGCTTAACTTCCTCTTCCTTGAGGGCGGCCGAACTTCTCTCGGAGACGCCCCAGCCCCGGGAGGCCTCGACCACCCCTGCGCACCCCCACTCTGACCAGATGCAGCCGAAATCCTGTCGCGGGTGCAGCGCAAACGGGGGGGGGGGGACCACCCCACCAGCCACACCCTCCACCCCCGGCGTTGGCGTGTGTGTCGCACTCTTGGCCTCGTCAACAAGCAACGCCGTTTGCGACCGAGCTCGGTGGGAATCTGCGTACGTGCAAGAGAAGTAAGCGTGAAATGAACCCGCACACGCCCGTCGCCCAGCTTCAGCCACGAGCACCGGCTGCCGTTTTTCTTTCCTCGGTTCTCACACCGTTTGGATTTTCTCCCTTGGCGGGGACATGTGAGAGTGGAGCCTGTGTCACTTGTGAATGTTACTGAGAGCCCAGACGAGGACTTGGGAAACAAAGCCAGGTCGCATCACACCCACGAAAGCAAGAGGAGCCCTCTCTTGTCAGATCCTTAAATCTGGAGGGTAGAGGACGCTGCGTTCGGTTCTGGGTTGTACTTCGCTTGATCTGCTTTTCCTTCAATGTCTTCATATCGTGCTCTTTACTTACATTCCCTTCTGGGTGAACACTGCTCGTCGAGTGTGCTCCTTAGTGTCCTGGGAGACTGACTGGCACCTCTGTGTCCCTCCTCCTGACCCCTTTGTGCTCTGGATGTCGGCAGGCACCTTCCTTTTTTTTTTTAATTTTTATTTATTTATGATAGTCACACAGAGAGAGAGAGAGGCAGAGACATAGGCAGAGGGAGAAGCAGGCTCCATGCACCGGGAGCCCGACATGGGATTCGATCCCGGGTCTCCAGGATCGCGCCCTGGGCCAAAGTCAGGCGCTAAACCGCTGCGCCACCCAGGGATCCCCCGGCAGGCACCTTCCTAAGTCTCAGAGCTGTCCACTTAGCTGCAAAGACGGGCTGTTGTAGGACAGACGCTGCAAAGCTCCATCCATGACGTGACCGTGCAAGTCTCTTCGCTCTTAACGGACGACAGGCCTCGGAAACAGTAACGGACATAAAAAGGTTTTCATACACTCTCGAATGCTCACACCGGAGGCCTAATCAGGATTCCGCTCTCACGTTTCGATGGAGCAGCACGGAGAGAGTTGCAGACCCTGAGCGCCAGTCGAGCGTGGCGCATGAACCCCCGGGAACGTGTGGCTTTCTTGTGCTTTCGGGGGCGGGAGGAAGTTCCACGATCTTATCACTTGAAAGTTGCCCTTGGCCTTTCTTGTTGAGGTTTCATTGGTTTCTCCCAATCTTCCTCTCGGATTCCTAAATGTGAGGCGTAAACTACGCCGGACGCATAGGAAGCTGCATTAGTGTGGTCAGGAAGTGCTTTTCAGACATCTCCTGTGGGGGGGACGCTGGGGAGATACACGCCTTGGGCTGGCGGTCAGGAGTCGGGGCGTTGGGCCCAGCCGGTCTGTGTTGCTGAGCCCCCCTGGGCAAGTTGTCCGTCTGTCTCCCGTTTGGATCGGGGTTTCCTCACCTGTTGGACTTGAATCGGGAATAAAGAGCCTGAGAGATGTTTCACGTGACCACTCTGATAAATTGGTAGACATTGCTCGGAAGGCTCTGCTGGGAAGGGTTGGAAGGCTGCCTTCAGGCTCTCCGGAGATACGGCCACGATCCATGCCTGGCACCCGCCATGGACCCACGGCAGGGAGGCAAGAGTGCGACGGCCTTGTATTTCATCCTCTTGGAATCACATGTCCTTTTGCATTTAGGTTCTCAAATTCTAGCTGCTGGGGCCAACGGAGCAGTCCTCCCCGACCCTCATCCTATCGTGTCCCCACCACACGATAGCACGGGAACTCGTAATCCAGCCTCATAATGACCGAAGGCCACCTCAGCTGACCGCTTAGTGGGGGATTTAGGAAACGAATGCTCACTTGACGGGATGAGCACTGGGTGTTATTCTGTATGTTGGTAAATTGAACACCAATAAAAATTAATTTATTAAAAAAATAAAACAGAAAAAAAAAACAAACGAATGCTATGGGAGTGAAGTCAGTAGTCTGGGGTTAAGGCGAAATTTTTATCTGGTTGGTTGTTAATTTGTAAAGCATGCGGAGAAACCTAGCTGGAGGCGGAAAGAGGGTGGCATCACCTGCAGCTTAGAACACCTGTCACACCCTCCCAAGAAAGGAGTTATGACCTATCTTCAAAAGGAACCTTTTAATGCCCCTTAAAAGGGGCAGAACACAGCCGGTGAAGTTGCTGGGTGGCTCCTTGCTTAACCCTCTGAAATACTGCGCATTTCCCAGGCCGCCCGTCTGGTTCTCATGTTTTCGTGAGACTCGCTGTAATGGCCGAGGGGTGTGGCGAGGCCCTTCTCAGACACCTGGCAGCAGGCTCCGAGCTTCCCCCTGCCGTCCGCCTGGCCCGACGTGTGTGCCTCGCGGAACGTCCGAACCTCTGAACGTCCCCTTGCCGTCCCCCGTGTCTAACACCACCCAGCTGGGATGGGGGAGTGTTTGAAGGCTTCCTTAGGGTAGAGTCTCGGAGCTTTTTCAGAGGTGGTGGTGAAAGGACATGGAAGGATCTTATTATGCGGTGGTGGTTTATCATGGGGAAGGTCTCCGGGACCGCCGGCTTGGGGAGGCGGTGGTCAGACTCGGGTGAGGACGTTGGGCTTAACTCTGCAGAGCGGGCGAGCTCCGGCTGGGGGTGCACGGAGGGAGGGAAATCAGATGACAGGAAAAAGCCTCTGAAGGCGTTG